AACTTAGATTTATTTTTGTACATGATGTACCATAGGGATCCAATTTCATATTTTCCAGTTGGATTTATTAAGCATTCTGTGAAAACTCACAGCCACATGCTTTATAATTTCCAGTATTATTAAAATTTATATATGTTCTTATAGGTATTATTAGAAGTAATTTTTTAAACAATTGTTTTCAGGTTACCAATTTCTGGTTTTACGGGTAACTTAGATTTTATGTTTGTCTTGTAGCTCATTAATTTCCATTCTCATATATCTTTCAATTTAATTTTTTTCTTTTTTTTAAATTTTATTTAAGGAGAAAAGAAAAAAAACAGTGAAAGGGTACAAGTTATACAGATTTACAGAAGAAAAAAATGAACAGTAGGAAATCACTAGTTAATGGATTACATATTGCCATCTTAGAAATAATTGTTCAAGTCACAAAATTAAAGCTTGTAGAGTGGACATTCCAACAATGATACTGCAAACAGTTCTGTTCAATGATCCAATAAAACTCTGTGATATCATTTTCTATCTTATACACTTAAATATACATGCAGTTATATAGTTTAGAGCACTTTCTTTTCCTCTCTTTTGTACAATGACTATTACACATTTTGGGTTTCATTGCTCCCACGGTTCTTATTGCTTTTTTGGAAGAGAGTAAAACCAAATGTGACATAACAGAACAGAATCGGTCAAGTCAAAAGGGTGGACATAATAGATAATATAAAAACATAATACAAGGTGATCAACAATGGTTACCATGATGCCTCCCGCTATCTCTAATAGAATTGCCTATATCATTAGTTATAATACAATTGAACCAAACAGTAAAGAATAAAACCGACTAAACCAAAACATTGGAGACATTGTAGGTCTTCAAAACTAGATAAAAGTCAACGAGAATGGGCGTTATAATGAATCTCATTATCTTCTGAGCTGATGCCTAAACTTTCAAACCTGATACTATCCAGCAAAACAGAATAGGGGAACATCAGTTAAAAGCCAGATGGTGAGAGCAATACAGGGCTTTAAATCGAGGTAATGGAAAGTCAAAGTGGGTTACTATAATATATCCTGCTATTTTTTCCCCTTAATTAAAAGGATAAAAATAAAAAAGTAAATAATGGAGTGGAGATTGAGATAGAAGAGGACATAACAATGAAACAGCGCAGATCAAATCATAACCATTTAAGCAGAATAGTGTTCCACCACCAGATAATCCTGACCTAAAAGTAGTCACCATATTGTCTCTTTCCTTGAAATCCCTGAGTACAACTTCGTATACTGTAGCATTAAGTATATCAAAACAATGTAAAACCATTTAAGAGAATGACAGCATTACAGAGTATTTAGAATCGACTAACAGAAAATGAACAACGATTTCTGTATAATCTCCTTGTCTTTAAAAGGTTTTTGCTCATACTATCGTACATAATAAAATCCAATATGATACAACCTATTTAGACCATTGGAGACAGAAGAACAAAAGCTAAATGAGACTTCAAAACAAGATGATACTAAGTCAGTATTACCTATTAAGATGTCATTTTCTCCAACATAGCTGTTCCTATCATCCAATCTTCTCTGCCTCATTTCTGTTGAGCTCTTTTTCTGTCAGTAGCTGTCAGTTTGTCTTCTTCATTTTGTTCTCTGCTCCATTCGTTGTGGCCTCCCCGCCACTATTTCTGGATTCTTTGTATTTTTCTTTTTTTAGAATATCCTGCAATATTCTCTGTAGAGTTGAATTGGTGGTTGCAAATTCCCCCAGTTCCTCTTTATCCTGGAAGCACCTTGTTTTTCCATCAATTTCCAGGGACAGTTGTACAGGATATCTCAATCGTGGCTGGAGATTATTATCTTTCAAAGCTTGAATTATTTCCCCCCATGCTCTTTGTGATTTGATGGTTTGTGCAGAGAAATCTGCTGTAATTCTGATGGGTGTTCCCTTGTAAGTGGTTTGTTTCTTGTCTCTTACAGCTTTTAATATTCTGCTCTTGTATTGAATTTCTGGAATTTTTATTATTATATGCCTGGGTGTTGCTCTGTTTGGGTTGTAGGTAGCTGGGGTCTTGTATGCCTCATACATCTGATTATCTTTACCTTTTGCTAAATTAGGAAAATTCTCCTGGATTATTTCTGTGAGTAGCTTTTGTAGTTCACTTGTTTGTGTCCCTACTTCTTCTTTTATGTTCTTAATCCTTAAGTTATGGATCCTCTTATCATCTTCTTGTCTTTGTATTATTGCTGTTTCTTTGTGAATTTTTAAGAAGTTTTTCATTTCAATCTCCCATATTACAAGTCTGCCCTCCAGTTCAGATAGTGTGTCCTTAGTTTCTTCCAAGCTGTTATGCCAGTCTTCGATAGACTTCTTATTTTCTTGATAGTCCCTTTGAACCTGCTTCACGTATTCTATGCTTTCTCTGTTTTCTCCATCAAACAATTCTCCCCTCTTTTTCTGTTCTTCCATTCCACCATCTGTTTTTTCTTGGGTGGTGCTTAGCATTTCTCTAACTATTCTGCATACTTCTAGCTTCAGGTCATTGATAACTTCATTCCTGAATTGGTCTATGAAGCTCTCTATGTGGCACTTTATGTCTATTGGTGCGTTTTCCGCTATTGCCTGTTTCTCAGAATTGGGGGCCGAGGAGCCTTTCTTGTTGCTGCCTCCTCCCATATTCTCTGTTCCTTATATATGGAAGCTTATATAAGAGGCCCAGCTTCTCTCCCAATCAGCCACAGCCTGATCGAATTGCACTGGTGAGGTGTTCTGCCCATCCCAGCACACCAGGGAGTTACGAACCAGGCAGCCTACGCGGGGGTTGCCCCTCCCGGCCACCGTCAGGCTCTGGGATCTGGGTTGGGCTAGTCTACAGGGTCCGCTGGCAGCGTCACGCAGGCCAGGCACTTTTCACCAATCTCGCCCGAGAGGGGGATGTGTGGCTGGAGTCGCCTCCCCGCCCTGCTCCCGCAGGACTGCCCGGGCCAGAAAGTCCTCTGCTGGAGTCAAACTGTGGTAGAGTGTCAGTTTCTCTCACTCACCTCACCACAAGTCAGTGCACGCCTCCCTGCCCGTCCTGTTTTCGACTCCCTTCCCAGATTGTCGTTCTCAAAGCTTCCGCACCTCTCTCTCCTTGCCTAGCCCCTGTAGAGGAAATGTTAATCTTCATTATCTGCATTCCATGTACCATATGGGTGCTTAGAATGCAAGGAGGGAGAGAGTCAAGTTGGTCCTGCAATGGTAGACAGGGGTCTGAGTAACGGAGCCAGGAGCCAAAAACAGAGCAGCTCTTGACAGTGGAGGAAAGGAAATGGCCTCTCTCCTGGTCACTGCGCAGTGAACTCATGCCTCAGAACAACTTTATCTGGACCCAGAAAATACAGGGTAAACTTCTGACCTCCAGAACCCCATGATGATACATTTTTGCTGTTGAAGCCAGAGCTGGTTCCAACGTGATGCAATAGTTATAGACTGCTGGTTACTTTCCCAGCCTGAATCCAAGTCATGGGACTTCCTGTAGAGCTTTTCCGATGGCTTCTCTTGCATGTCTTGAAGTTCCATCATCAGCGCTATCGCGGAATTTGGCGTGAGACTACTAAGTACATTTTGTTTGAAAACCCATGAACAACATGTAAGTGCACAGTTTCTGTATTCTGTTTTCAAGAGCATTCTAAGAGCAACACTCCCCTAGACTTGTGTTTGATACTACTTGAAAAAAGATCGCTTAAGAAGAGCATAAGAAGGCTGTAATTTGGGAAAAGCTGTCAACAAAGTGTCTACATTGTCAGTTTAGGCAAAATAAGGCACCCAAATAAATGGTGAGATTTGCAGCTGGGGAGCACATGGTGGGATGTGCTGTGCTCTTTTCCTCCCCTCCTGGGGAGAGCTGAGTGTTCAGTCCATGAGCAGCCTGCTCTGCTTCCCTAAAGAGAAGGAGAACAGTGAAGCAAAACAAAACACAGCAAGTACCTGAGTGATGACTTGTCCCTCTGTACAGGGCTGTTACCGTTCATCCGCAGCAAGGACTGCACAGGGCACCTGATGATGGAGTACCAGACACCCCCTCAGGAGGCTGCCTGGCTCCTGCAGCTGTTTGCCCTCCTCCTCCCCTTTCCATAAGGGATCAGCCTGACATCACCACGTGCTTGAGTGTTTTGCTGTTTATTCTCTTCCTCAGGAGGTCTGGGTTTCTTCTACATGCTCAAACCAACTCTAGCTCCACCTCCAGGTAGTAAGGACCCCTTTCCCTACTGCTTCCACACATCCTTGTTAGGCTCCCTCGTAGGCCTTCCCTTCTCTCCCTTCACCAGAGTCCCACACCCCTACAGTGCGGGGAGCAATTTTACCTCTCATATGATCTAGCGAATGTGGAAGCACCAAAGGCTGATGTGACCAGTGCCTTGCAACCTGCAGTTTGTCATTTGTTTGTTCCCTTCATGGTGTGTTAGTTTGAAACAAATTGTCTGTCTGCATCACAGGGCAAATTAATTTGGATATGTGGTTCCCGGGACGGGAAGTAACCGACACGGCTCTTTGTCAAGATGAACAGCAGAGAGAGGGTGTACACAAATGCCTTTTCCATGACATCAGCAAAGCGCTGGTAGAGGAATTTCTGGCATCAGAGACCTGGGATGGTGTAAGGAGTACAAGAGGCAATGAAAAAAATGTAAAGAAATTGACTGGTGGTTCGCCAAAGACTGAGAGCAAAGCTTTCCATGATTTAACAGAGCACTTAAAAGCGGCCACTAATCTTGAGAAGACTTGGACATGGGAATCACAGTGTTGGGAGTGGGTGTGGGAAGGTGGTTCCATGGGAGATGAGCTGTGGGTGTGAAGGATGGGTGCATTCCCTGTGCCCTGGCTCCCAGTGCCCGGCCCCAGGGTGCATTAGATCTAATGCACCATGCAAGTCTCTTGACTCCTGTTGGTGCTGCCTAATTATCGGACTGTTGTGTGACTTAGCGCGTATCACACATGCGAAACTAAAATCACTGAACCAAAACAAACAATATAGGATGCGGAACAGCTAGGACTTTATTAGGACAAGTGAGAACAGAAGATAGAATGGGGAAAGCACATTAGGTTGTCATGAAAGTCACAGAATACGGAGTACATTGAAGCAAACTTATCACAGCTTGACTTTGCAAAGACCTAGTGTGAGAGTCATGAGTTTCCTCAGCTTCTTTAGCTCAATCACTTTGTCACAGCTGAAGGGAGGAATCCAGGAGAGGAGCGGAGGCTGATGAGCAGCGGCTGAGTGAAGAGAACCCCACAGAGGCTGGGATTGTCCCCCCCGGTCCAGCTTCCTGTGTACTGGCCAGACGGTGCTGGCAGTAGGATGACTGTGTATAATTAGCCGAGAGAGGAGGGTGAGTTCCATGGTGCTGGCACTTGGGAGGTCTGTGTAAGGTCGGTCATGGTGCTGTGGTAGATTTGTCAGCAGCTGCAGGGCTGGCAGCAGCCGGATCCGTAGCTCTCGGGGAGGCCACTGCACAGGCGGACACAGGTAGGATAGTAGCAGGTTCTGGTGCAGTACACAGGTCCAGAGCAGGCCGGCTGGCAGCAGGTGGGCTGGCAGCAGGTAGGCTGGCAACAGCTGGGCTGGCAGCAGCTGGGCTGGCAGCAGCTGGGCTGGCAGCAGCTGGACTGACAGCAGCTGGGCTGGCAGCAGCTGGGCTGGCAGCAGCTGGACTGACAGCAGCTGGGCTGGCAGCAGCTGGGCTGGCAGCAGCTGGACACGCAGCACCTAGGCTGGCAGATAGGGGTGCTGCAGCAGCTGGTCACACAGCTGGGCTTGAAGCAGGTCGTGCAGCAGGTTGTCTGACAGCAGGATGGGCGGCAGCAGGGCTGGCAGCAGCTGGAGCCACAGCTGGTTTGGCCACAGCAGCTGGGCTGGCAGCAGGGGGCGCTGCAGCAGCTGGTGATGCACGCTGGTTTCCAGCAGGTGGTCTTGCAGCAGGTGGTCCTGCAGCAGGTGGGCTGGCAGCAAGGGGAGCAGCAGGAGTGGGACATGGTGTCAGGTGTGGAGGGCGGGTCCTGGTCACAGGTGACTTTCTCTGGATGTGCTGACCTCTTTCCATCGGGGTCTTTTATACATTGCCCGAACCCCCACGGGGACCAATGGGGAGAGTTTCCTTGTTTGTTTTCTGCAGTTTATGAGGAAATGTCTTAAGGAGGAAGCTCTTCACTAAGTGTTCTAGCCGTGTTACCATTTATGCTTTGAACAGCTAATTGTGTCTGATTCAGGGGAATGCTTCTAGAAACCATCATCAGCTTCCTTCCTGGCCTCCCCATCATATGTTCGCTGACAGCTCGTGTGGCAGAGTGGATGACGGGAGCTGTGCTTTTTCCGTGGGTTTCTGTGATCTTGTGTGCACAGGGAGTTTGTGAGGAGAGCTATGATGCTGACCTGTGCGCCGGGATAGACTGCTCCGTGGCTTGGTCCGAGTGTATCCACCAGAGCTGCTGTCACTGAGGGTGACTTGGGCCTGTCTGTCTGCAGGAGCCCTCATGTTATTACCGCCACTTTCATCCAAGGACGCATGGGTGGTTTGTCTGGTGTCATGTTTGTTTTTTAATGCAATGTGGCTGCAAACCTGGAGGACAGAGGATGGAAGTGCACAGGAATCCACAGAGCATTAATCCGTTTAGGTCCTGAATAACCTCACCTAAAGCTGTTTGCCTGCAGGAGCAGCCTCCTGAAATCTGGCACCTGAAGTCCATGTCTTTACACACAAAATTAGGATGTTTTATACCATGTGATTATCCATTAATGACCTCTGTCCAAAGAAATGAACCCTAGTACACTCTCTGGGAACGACATGCAATTTTAAGTGTGTAGCTGAACAGAAATGGCCAGCAGAAGAGCATGACACCATTCACAGTAGGGAGCTGATTAAATGTCCTCCCAGGAGGCAGCTTCCCCTGGGGTTTGTCCTCAGGGCTGCCCTTTCCCTGCTCTCGAGGTAACTAGCATGTTAACCAGAAATGCATGTTTTGCCACCTTCTAAATTTTACCTGAAGTGAAATTGTGTATTCTTGTATTCTTTTGCTCAGAATTACGTTTGTGAGCCCTGTTCACTGCCCTGCACAGAGTGCTTATTCGTGTGTTTCCCTCCTCTTTTTACTCTACTGTACAAATGGACCCCAGCGTAGCCAGGTTTTCCATTGCAGGTGGGCATTTTTCCCTCGTAGGCCATTTGTGAGTCATGTTCCTCTCAATCATTTTTTCTACATCCCTGTCAACACCTGCCTGCATTTCTGTGTAATGTAGTTTTGGAATGCAATTTCTGGGTTACAAGCTATGTGTATCATTATGTTATTAGTTTATAGTGCTCAACCTTAAAAAGAATCATCTCCGTAATACACACCGCTTGCTGTTCTCATTGCTTTAGAACTCCTCCGTGATTGAGATTTTCACCTGGGATTTTAAATATTTTAGCTCTGTTTTATTTACAGCTAGTGCATTACAGTTTTCATTGGAATATCCCTGAAGATAAAAGAGGTTAACTTCCATGTAGTCACTAGAGTTTTGGGATTTCTCCTGTTGTTGTGGTCATCATGCCTCAATTTTTCTGCTGAGTTGCGTGTCTTTGTCTTTTTCTTTATTCCAGTTTGCTTTATCTGTGTCTTTTCCTATGCCTTTGCTTGCTCTCCATCTCTGAAATTTAATGCAGTGTAGACCCTTAGTTTTATCCATGGCATGTATAGTGCTTTCTCTTTCTTGTTACATAAGGAGACGGTTCTTTTAAGATGGTGTATCTGTTATTTCGTGTTGCACCCCAGGTTGCTACAGTCTTACTATCACACTTATGTGCTCAGTATCCTTGCAATAGGTTTGCATCTAATATGAGATCAGGGTGAAACTTTAGGCCTCCTGCCTTGGGTGGATACCCAATTGTCCTGGCATGATTCAAAATTTCAGCTTTTTCCCATGTATCTGGGTGACAGCTTTGCACCCAGTACAGTGATGTGATACAAACAGCTCCCTTGCCGAACACATGTCCCGGGCCAACTTAATCTGTGGACAGAAAAGGGGCACCAAGAGTAAATGGCACATCCGTTCTGGATCACAGTTCTTTAGCATAATCAATTCTTTAGTTCTTAAATATTGTTAACTTTTAAAAAGTTGCTGTTTTTATAAAGTGGATCACTGTATGGAAGGACACCCGGTAGAATTTCACCTTTGCTCTTTTTGAACAGAGAGGAAATTGGATAAATAAACACGAAGAGATGCAAAAATTTCACCCAAGCAGCAAGCTGAGGCTTTCTGAGAAGTACCCAACTCAGTTCTGAGTTTTATGTCATTTTGTAACCTGGGGCACAAGCTCAAAGCTACTCTGGGATAGTATAAGAGTTGGGTCTCGATTTATAGCTGGTGCAAGGTCTGTGATCCTTTCATTCTTTCTTTCATTTGATTTCACAAACAGTCACCCTTGTGTCTATGTGGGTTTGATTCCATGACCTTCTAGGAATTAAAAATTTTTTGATGCTCAGATCCTTTCTACAAACTGAGATTGTATTTTCACATAAGCTGTACACATCCCTGTGCGTTCTTTAAGTCATTTGTGGATTGCTTATTGGATCTAATAGATTGTATTGTGATGTTGGAGATCAAATTGCCCTTATTTTGGGCAATTGGTGTAACACTGAGTTCCCTTCAGCTGTCCCAGTATCTATTAGAAAGTCAATGCTATGTAAATGGTTGTTCTGCTGTGTTGTTGAGGGAATAATACTGTGAAAGTAATTCTGTATATGTTCAGGATAGATACATTTCCCCCAATATTTTGATCCTAGATTTTGGAATTTGAGGATGCTGAACTCACAGATAAAGAGAGTCAGCTGTATTTGCTTAGTGTTATATGCAAAATTTTGTCTAAGATTTTGCATAGCACACAACAAGAAGCTCCTAAAATTTGTAGGAGCTTCACTAAGTTTCTCAGCAGGGTGCAGGGCCCTCAGTTTGCAAACATCCTCATTCCGTGCAAGAGGAGAGCATAGTGATGGTGTGCGTGCTACACATGCCCTGGGAGAGGGCTAGCCTGTCTGCAACATAAGGGAGGAAGCCAGGCTTGCAGTCCTCTTTTTGGCTCTTGTTGGTTTTGCTGTTTTCTGCCACTATGAACACTTACCGCTGTGCCACACCCCCTGCCTTGGAGCCAGCTGATTATGGATGCAACCTCCACAAACTGTGAACTAAATAAATCTTTCCTTCCTTAATTTTGGGTGTCAGATATTTTGTCTCAGCAACAAGAGAAAAGTAACTAAGAAAATCCATGACATCTGTGTAGAGTGTGTTGTAGTGGTGCAGAGAACAGACATATGAAGCAGACTAAGGTTCATGTCTAATTTGTATCCTTATTGGTCTATTAATAATAACAATTCTATTTTGCCAATGTCAAGAAAAGATAAATTTACCCAATGCAGTGGGGGTAAAGGCCCATTGTGGTCTTGATTTAATCTTTCTTTTGTACTAGTCAGGTTGGACAAATATTTTAAATATGTGCATTCATGATATATGCTTATCTCAGTACGATTTTTTTTTGCTATTGTCATTTTAATTTTCCAGTTTTTGGTTGGCGTCATATACTTTCTAAAATTTGTTGTTTAGCATTGTTTATTCCACTTAGCAACAATTTATTGTTTTGTGTATTTAAAAATCCTTCACAATCTTTGTGAATATTCTTTTCATTTGAATTAGTGTCTTTTGAAGAACATAAATTATGCATGCTACTATGATCCATGGTGGTGATCTTTCTTACTCACTGTAATCAGGGACTTTTTTTTTGATGAATAAGATTTTTATTTCTCAGGTCTAAAAGATATACATCTACATAACGTTCTAAGAGACTTTAAGGTTTTGGGTCCATTTTAAATTCTCACCTAACTTAGATTTATTTTTATACATGATGTACCATAGGGATCCAATTTCGTATATTCCAGTTGGATTTATTAAGCATTCTGTGAAAACTCACAGCGATATTGTTTATGATTTCCAATATTATTGAAATTTATAAATTTTCTGATAGGTATTATTAGAAATTATTTTTTAAACAATTTATTTCAGGGTACCAATTTCTGATTTTACGGGTCACTTTGATTTCATGTTTGTCTTCTAGCTCATTAATTTCGATTTTCATATATGTCTTTCACTTTAATTTTTGAACTTATTTTTATTTTGTAGCTTTTTAACAGTTATACAAAATTTAGTAATTTAATAGTTTGTTCTAGTAGAAATATTAAATCGTTTAGAAGAGCCTCAAAATGATGTTGTAGTGGCATCCTCTAAGTTTGCTAATGTATATCTTGCATTATTTTTCATTTTCTCGTGAGCTTTGGTTTCCATGATAAGGTCCTCAGTTTGGGTATTCCAAGCCAATATCTTCTTCCTCACATCTTTCTATTTCATTCTTTTATTTCCTCTATTATTCATGGCAGGTATTTCATTTGGTTCCCTTTAACGATTCATCCTATTTTTAAAAAACATGAGGGAGTGGGAATAAGGCTCAGTGGTAAAGCTCTTGCCTTGCTTGTATAAAGGCTGGGCTTCATCTCCAGCATCACTAAAAAAAATAAAATAAAAAAAAAAACCCAAAATGAAAGAAAGGATTAAATCCCATTTCAATTTCAAGGAGCAGAAGAGATGCAAGGAGAGAAACAGGCCTTGAGGTAGAAAGCTGACCTTCAGTTGGAGGCAGTTTTGGGTAGTCCATGCTTAGGAGATTTGTCAGATATCAAATTTTAAATCTTCAAGATACAGTCGAGTGTGCAGAAGTCGGTGTGATCTTGCAAAGAACTTGAAAAATACTATAGCAGTCTGAACAAAGTCATGAGAAGGTAGAAGAGATTGAATCATCAAATGAAGAATGCAGTCATTCTTCCACAGTCTTGGACTCTGCAATATTGTAATTTATACTCTTTGAGAAGGTTCTCCATGTGTCTGGGACTGGATCACTTTGGATGAGCTAAGCCTGCCTTCCATTTGCTCCTTAATGTCTGCACGGTTTCTGAATGTGTTAATCCTGGACACATCCCAGAGTCTTTCCATGGG